CCCAATAAAACTCGAAGATGTCTGATTCGAAAGAGGCTTGGCTGCGCTATGTTAAAAAAGTGTCGAAAAAGGCTTTTGAAAAGTTGGATTTCTGGAGATCTCCTAGAAAACTGGTTTTTGAGACCTCAAGAAGTCCTCAAAGGAGCTATTTAAAATTTTTAGCATAAGTAGTACTAAGTGTATTGTCTTCATGGACAAAATTTGACGAAGATCTGACGTGTAGTTTTTGAGAAAATCGAGATCAAAGTCGGGAATTTTGGTCTTGCCCAATACCTTAACTCAAAAGGGCAAAGAGCTTCACTGCTCAGCTTTATACTGTTAAGAAGTCCTTGGAATGAGCTACATTTTGGTTATAAGGCAGTTGATATTTCATCCTTTTTCGACCATTTTACACCCATTATAAAAATGCATGGAAAACCCGTTTTGGGGCATATTTTATAAAATTTGCAACCTGATCAGCTTAAATGTTGAAACTTTGAAAATTACGCTACATGGACAACTTTTAGAGTTCTATCGAATGGCTTACTCAAATCTTTCGAAAGTTGTTTAGGAAAAATAAAACAGAGATATCCAAGTGGGGATTTTTTGATAAAATCGGATTTTGAGCCCTCTCTCCAGCCGTTAGCGCATAATTCCAACCAAAATTGAATATGTATTCTGAGACAACTCGACATGGACTACAAAACTAGCATACTTAGATCTTGCCAGAAAAATGTTCTGTAAAAAGTGGGCGGACCTGCGTGGAAGTACCCAAAGTGGGCAAAAAGGCGTGAAGCCTGTGTAAAATAATTTCTTTTATTGCCATAAAACAATGCAAATAGAAGTTGTTCTGCTGGCTTATGTATTTAACTATGCTTCACCCAAATATGTCATTACAATTATTGAGATCCTATTTATATTTCTGCTAAAAAAGTACTTGAGTAAAAAGTTTAGTTAATTTTCTGCATAAGATTATAGGACCGCAGTCGTTTTTTGTTGTTAAAATTGCACAGGTAAACGATGAAGCGTATATCAACATCACTGGAAGATTTAACCGGCCTTCATTGAGGAAGTATTCAGTATTTAAGACTATGGGCTATACATGGAGAACAACGCACCAGTTCATACCTCAAATTTTATTATGAAACGATTTGAGGAAAATGATATAAGTGACGCCATGGGTAAGGATATCAGCCGATTTCAATCCTATTGAAAATCTTTGAGATATGATTGATAAAAGATTGAGATTCATAAAATTAACGAATCTGGAAGATCTTAAATGTACAATGGAACAAATGTGGTCCAGTTTTATAGCTGCGGCGTGCAAAAAATTGATGAATCCGATGCCAGACCTTATTTAACGACAACTATTACCTTTTCGATGCTACGTCGTTGGCCATTCCGTCACGTATACCATTCTCATCGACCTGATCAATCTCTGTATTATACCAGATGCGTTTTATGGAAAATGTTATAATATTCCTTGTTTCCCACCTTTGCATATCATCAAAGAAATTATTCTATAGGCTTCACGACTTTTGGTCCGCTCTATAAATGCTTTGCTCGGACCGGACTATTAGTTACCGAGATACGATTTTAATACACGGACTATAATTGTTTATACTTTGGTACGACAGATAGTGATAAACACTGCCATATAATTTCTTTCTGTTATTAAATACAGGTAACCCCAACAGCTGGTATCACTGTTATGTCAGCTTTCCTTCATACACACCTACAAGGTATATGAATGAAAGGTTGAAACGATCGCTTTTATAATATGCCTTTATTCACTTGGGGTTAGTCCAAAGCTCACTTAAAACACTATTTTATTATATTTTTAATTCTTCTGGAAGTCATCAGCTTTGCAGAAAGTAAAGATTGTTCTAGGGAGCTTTGGGAATTAGCTATGGGAATTAGCGGACTTTTTCTCATAATCCTGAAATGCTTCATGTTCTACCTAAAAATGTCGAGCGCCACTGCTGACAGTGAGTCAAAAATTCTAGATAATGTCTCGAAAGCCAACGTGTGTAAGCTCCTCCCGCAAATGAGAAGTGACAATTTTCATCAGAACTGTCGATACTGACGTGAGATAGCTGCATAGTTGCAAAATATCTTCCAATGCACTGATTTTTATGCTTTCAAAAACGCTTTTGTAGAGTTTTACTCAGGGTTTTCGGAGAGCTATAAAACGGTTGAACCTGGTTTTTTAAATACTTTTCCTGAAATTACAGCTGCTACAGCGGCGTTGGCGGTACATCACATCTCGATGCGCGTTCATTGGATTCTACTCACGGTGGAAGATCCTCAAATGTTAGTCTCCGTTGTCAGTGGAATATATACCAATTTGTAGAGCTCGACGAACTGATCACGATGGCATAAAGCGTGCATCGCCATACGCTGCTGTTGAAGAGTTAGATCAATCTGAACTTTCAAAAATAATCCCTCTGACATATTAGTTGAAAGAGTTCGATTTCTATCCTATTTCAGTTTCCAGTTATCAAAGCATTAGCGTCGAATGTACCGTACCAAGCCATATGTGGTCACATGACTAAAACTGTGAGTTTAGCAAATTCATATGTTTGTCGCACACGTGCGTCTACGATTCTTTGAGAATACAATATTATTAACACAGGAATTAAAGTCTTGAGCTCTACAATGTTTACCGTACACTACAGCTTGTTTAGTGTTTTCTAAACTGATTCACTCAAAAACAACTTTCATTAATACAGTACCATCCTATTTAAAATCTGTTTATGATTTACAGTATAAAGCAGATCTGATCGTCAGTGGAACAATGCAGTTATCATCGAGAGAAAAGGTACTTGAAATTTTCGGATGGCTTTCATTACAACACATGTATGCAATAAATAAAATTGTTCTCTTCTTCAAGATCAGAAAAAGTCTCGCGCCAACTTTCCTATCTGAGAGCAGCCAGTAATCGCTATGTTGTTGCGCTCAAGAGAGAAAGGCCAGAACACTTTTTTCCCTTGGGTTGTGAGACAATGGAGCTCAGTGCCGATCGAACTCAAGATTTCTTTTCTTCACATTATAAATGGCCACGTTTCAGGTACAGTGAGCATAAGTATGGCTGTCTTCTCAATCAAATGAGAGTTAATTTCTCTCCATTAAATTGTGATCTCCTCCAAAAGAGGTTTGAGTACTTATCCGTTCTGTGCTTGTGGAAAAGAGGAGTCAGTCAAGCATTTTCTGTTGGAATGTCCACGCTACCAGCATCAACGCAATATACTTCTTTCTGACTGGTCATCTCTAGCTCCTACCATCTCCTCTAGACTTGCAAATTTACTCTTTTTGAAGCAACTTGAGATTCTAGATAACTCTAAAGTTTGCAAACTACGTCTTCTAGTTGCTACCTACATCAAAAACTCTGCGCGTTTTTGAATCAGAAATGTTCATGACTCTTTCCTTTTTGTTGTACACTAATCTGTCATTTTCTTTTTCTCTTTTTTATTTTATTTTTTCATTTTCTTTATGTTACTGATACTTATTCATTTGCTTTTCGTCCTCCAGTGTCTGTTATCAGTGTGTGTGTGTGTGTGTTTTCTTCATGAACAGACAAAATGGTGTCGTGGGTTTCTCCTCGTTCTTTTTGTGCTGTTCTTATATTTATTCTTAACGTAATCCTTTGTCCTCTTTCTTGTTTACTAAATAAAGCTTATACCAACAATTCTACCCATTAAAATTAATTAATAAAGCGTTAAAAAAACTGATTTGAGTAAAACATGAAAATTCCTTTTTCATTTGAAATATGGCACTACACATCATTACAACCAAAAATTCAGGACCTTACGAGAGACAAGTGTGATACTATTACTGATAATGAATCCTCGATTAAGGTATGAGAATGTGAGTGTTCAAAGATGGGTTGAATATACGAAACCACTCTACATTTTCCTGACCTTACCTAACCTAAGAGTGTTAAGTAACGTGAGGAAATTCATTTGAATTTCATCTCATCCCACCTCAACTAACTAACCTAAGAGTGGTGGATGAGATGTAGCATACATGTATATTACTATCGCACTCGAAACGGAATTTCCATGGAATTCCAGTTCTAAGACCGTCATTTATAAAATATTTTGGGTATTATCTCAATGTTTCGAGGACGTAGAACAGTTAGGATATTGCAACAGTTTTGAGTATTAGGACGCCTGAATCTGGATACCCCTACGTATTGGAATTATGACATCTCTGTGTTTCTGATACATGAAACAAATTATCACTATTGAACCTTCAAGATTGAAATGTTGGATAGTTGAAGGGCTTTCATCGAATCATTGTTTTGACATAGTTCAAGTTTTAAAAACTAATAGGATAACATATGGACGTGAGTTTCAAAAAAATGAAAAACATACCTTTTTTTTAAACGAAAGCTCGGAATCAGTTGAGATAGTTCTCTTGTGAGAGGGACGACATTAACTGATTAAAGTTTATTCATCTTTTGTGCTGATTAAGATGAAATCTAGCAATGGAAATAATGTCGGCATAGCTCACACATAACTATGCCAGCGTTTAATAACAATTTATGAAATCGTTGTAGAAGAGAAACAGAAAAGCGATAGCGGATGTCAAATGACAGAAGAGAATAGTATTAATAAAAAATAAAAAGACCCCGGTATTAGTTACAAAGAATATAAGCTTTTAAATGAGTTTTTTTCAATATATTTTTGCTGCAGATAGAGAGTCCTTGGTATTAATTTGCCATAGATACAGTTTCTAGCCTAGGGGATTTACTACGAGAAAAACATATTGCACTAAAGACTCTGTTCTTAATACAATAGTCGCAGGATAAGAGACTGTTCTAGTCAACACTAGAGCGAAAAAGAGCAGGTGGTAAACGCGCAAATATGACAATAAGTATCTACCTATATAAATAGCTCTGTGATAGAAACTCTAGTATAGAATATATCGTTTCGAAAAACAATCATTTTCTTCCAGATAAGGTAAATCGATACTTCTATCTTTCACTCGTATTAAATCTTATTGGTTCGTAGGTGACAATGATTGGAAATCAATACATCGCCTTCATCTTGCTTCAATGTGCTGTGATTATTTCAAGTCGATACAACGATCCGAATTGTGGATGGGCCGATAAAACCTATCGTGCTGTCGGTGACTGGGCAGTAGACGCTGGATCTAGTGCAAACTGGAATGTAGCCGAACCTAAAGGTTTAATGCATGATACAAATGTTCAGTCGTGTGAATATGCAGTTGATATTCATGGTTTGAAACCTAATAAAGTATATTATTGGAAAGTGACGGTTGGTGATTCCTGGGAAGTTCATTGGGGATGTGTCGGACTTGGAGGACCCGATTGTCAATTTTCGACACCGACAGGTTCTGTTCGCTTGAAAATTGTCGGTTCTTTTGCTTATCCTCTCACTGCTGAAACCATTGGTGCAACAACAAATCCTTCAACCTCATCTTCCAATCCACCACCTGGTTATGCACCTGGCAAGAAAGTATTTGCTCATTATATGATGGGATTTACTTATCCATCGGATCAGAACTTTTTTGATGGTCAAATCAAACGTGCGAAAGCGGCGGGTATTGATGGTTTTGCTTTAAATGTCGGTATCGATGACTGGCAACCTGATCGTGTAGGAAAAGCTCTTGCTGCTGCTAGAAACAATGGTGATTTTACAATGTTTATTTCATTTGATATGTCCTCTTTAACGTTCAGTAATGATGTTCTCGGTCGTTTCCATTTTGCTGCTAGTCTTCCGAATTATTACCGAGTGGATGGTAGGCCTTTCTTTTCCACTTTTGCTGGTGAACATCAAGATAGCTTTTGGATGGGTTGGAAAGCAGCAAGTGGATTAAGTCCCTATTTCTGTCCTAGTTGGCCCAATTATTCAACTTCTAACTTATTACAATCGCATCCTGTCGCTGATTGTATCTTTACCTGGAATTCTTGGCCTGCTGGCAATTCTGGACCTGGTGCTCAATTTGATACTTCTGGTGATAGAAATCTTCTAGCCAGTGCGAGAGCGACTGGCAAGACATACATGGCTCCTCTTTCTCCATGGTTCTATACTCGTGTTTGGGGATCGGGATGGAGTAAAAACTGGATCTATGGTTCGGAAACTCTTCTTCCACAACGATGGCAACAAATTGTTGCATTGCAACCAGATTTTGTTCAAATCATCACCTGGAATGATTATTCTGAATCTTCCTATATATGTTCCATTAGTAGTGATTTACCGACAGATATGGGTGGTATCAGTGCTATGATTAATAGTCCACAACCGATGCATCACGATGCTTGGTTAGAACTTTCCAAACATTATATTCAATGGTATAAGAATAATGCTAGACCCACTGTCACTAATGATCAATTCTATTGGTGGTATCGTATTCATCCGAAGGATTATGTTAATGGTGAAGTTCCTCAATATCGTAATGATGCTCAGGACTGTGTAGTTGTTCATTCGATTGTCAAAAATGTTCGACCCAATGGTGGAGAATATACGGTCGTGGTTGATCTGAATGGTTCGAAGTCAACTTATAAGATCACTCAACTGGAACAGACCGAATGTATACGTTTTCCACCGAATCCGGGATATGTGACCGTTTCTTTGATCGGTCCTGATAATAAAGTATGGTGGGCCGAAGGTAAAAATGCTCCACAACAGAGTAGTGGCAGTAATTTCAATGCTTTCGCAAATGCCCATAGCTTTCCCAGTCCATAATATGTTTCCGTCTTTTTTTGCATCCAAATAAATTCCCTTCTTCTGATCAGTGTATAGTATTCTGAATAAAAGTTCCAACTCTCACACTATCACTTCTTCTTTCCAGTGACTGTATGATGATCTACCGAACAGGATTAGATCTGCACAGATGATAAAGCAGAAAAATCGCTTAATCTATGTATAAAAATCGAAATATATATATAAAAAACAAAACCTTATACATTGGCATGAATATCTTTTCAGATAAATCAAGTCTAAAGCGTAATTTGGATAAAGATTCTGTCATGTGGAAGTTATCGTCAGGACAAATACGATGTTTCTAGTAAGTGAAAAAACTATGAAGTAGAAAGAATCTGTATAGATGGTTCGCTAGGTCGTCCAATTACAAATATTTTATTGGCCAGAATGGATGTGAATCATGTCAATGAAGGATCGAATATTTCTGTTTCATTCACTGTATGTTGGCAGGTGAGATCGTAGTTGACAGACGGTGAATTTTTTTTTTCTAGACTTTTTGCAATGAAAAGCATGGTGAAGTTGCAGTGAATATACTTGCGATCTACAAGGTTGGCTGCAAAGACCTTCAGACGATGAGAATTGCATCAAATTTCTTCCTATGGTAAGATGAATGTAGACGAAGAGATATCTTCAGTATGATTATTGAATTTTAGTCACCGGTGAATGATGATTCCAATGAATGGATAGTAACGGCAGCACCGACATTTGCGCAAATGACTCGTTTATTACTTGAACAATAGATGAATGGTTTTTGATTTTAGGACATGTTCTTTGTCAGATAATTTGTGTGTTCGTGGATAAAATACTATTGATATCGGAGAGACTAACAATGACCAGTTGAATAGATCAGAAAATGTCGTCCGGCCATTGAAAATATCTGCAGGTTAGATCTATATCTCTTCTGATATGTGCCTCTTTTGTACATTCGAAAACGAAAGTTAGTTACCGATCTGATCCAATAGGGACATACTTGGTCAGAATGACTAAGTTTTTCAGGTGACATTCATCGAATCACAATTCCATACGCTATTTCAACGATTTTTATCGCATCTACTGTTAGTTTTTCGATAATAATATCAGTTATATATCAATAACATTGATATTACCTTGTACATTCTATTATATGACGCAGTGTGATCCAGGAGGTTCGAGATGATAATTTTTCTTCGTCTATGTGTACGTCTTTCTTATCTTTCTTGTCTTTCTTTTCTGGGCCACCCTTCTCAGAGAAATCGATTTTTTGCCGGAAAATCGATTTGAGATAAGCTAATAGGAGGATAGCCTGAAGTTACTACTTTCAGAATCTGTGTTGCTTTCAGCCTCAGATGTTGTTTTCCCTGGTTTTCGAGCGAGTTTTCTAGCAGTCTCGGAAAACAGGCTCTTCAAATAATATTTCTTCTCCAGATATTTATGCAACTGAACTTTTTCCTGAATGTTTAGGCTTGTATAGCAGACTTTTCCAATCAAAATAAGACATCCGACAACCCTGTACGACGTTGCATCAAAAAGTGAATATTAAAAAGAAATGACTTCAATTCTGCTGATACATTTGACAGCACAAAAAAATTAGAAAAAAACGGTATTCTGCCACTTCTTCAATTTTCTTTTCACAACTCCGGCGGGAAGCAAGATGCAGGATTTTTGTGAAACTCCTCCCGTCTTACGAAGTAGAGGGAATTTTAGTTTGTACTAAAAAACCAGGCGAATACCAGCTATTTTGGATCCTCTCCCTTCACCTGCTTACACGCACTTAAAAAGTACCCTTATACGATCTTAAAACGGCCTTTACGCGATCTGAACAAGACTTTACGCCATCTGAAACAGACTCTTACACGATCTGAAAAGGTTTACGCGACCAACTATGGTACCTTTACGTCATATTAAACTGTAAGTTACACGATCTTAAAGTGACCCTTAAGTGTTTTCTTAGTAGTTAGTATTTAGTACCCGGATTTCTTTTGGCTTTTTGCTCTTCCTTTTCTTCTATAAAATCCTGACTTACTTGTAACATAAACACGTTAATTATTTTTTGCTCTTGTTTTGAATCCTCCCATTACATCATATCACATCAGATGATGACAACAAATACAAAATTGAGTGAAAACGGGTTGAAAGAAAAAAATTTTCGTGCAATCAGTTGCTATGCTAAAATTTTGATTATAGCTAGAGGACAAAGCCTTTCAAACGCTATAAAATAGCTAGCTAGCTTTTTCTATGTCTCAACAGACAAAAGGTGTAAAACTAGAAAAATTGTTTTTTCTGTTAGAAAGTTGAGTATTTCAAAACTCTTCAGTTTTTACTCTTTGTCAAAAAAATTACCCTTTTAGCATAACGTTTCGCACCATGCGTAAAATCAGCATACAGTGTACAACATCAACGTTTTGGGTTCGAGTTTTTTCTTACTCTACAGAGAAATGATATATCTTTTATATCTAAATACCAGAAGTTCAGCAACTTTTTTTTTCCAATAAAGTGAGTGAAAAGATCAAATGGTCCTTCCTATCTAATTAAGTTATCGTTTCTATCTTAACACTAAATTTGGACAAAAGTCAGCAAACACCATGAGAAAGAGCACACATGACAACATCAAAAAGCTTATATCTTAACAACTGTGAAAACGTTTGAAAAAAGTTTGAATTTGCTGAAAATACTTTAGAAAGTTGATTGGATGAAAATCCTTCAGTGTTTTTCGTATAACCGTCCGCTTTCACATTTAGTAGTAAAACATTCAACACGTTTTTTGTAGAGAATTTCAAAATGCATCTTGTGGTATATGAATGAACTCAAATGAATGAAACACGGCTCAAGGAAATATCGGCAGCGTACTAGACTCTTTCTCATTAATCACAGTTATGATCCTCCTAGTGTTTAAGTAACTATGAAACCACCGAACCAATGGACCCTTAATTCCCTTACACTCAAGCTTACATAGCAGTGCCCTAATCCACACGCGATCGAAAGCGTTGGAGAAGTCCAGAAAAGCAGACGAGTGACTAAATTTTGATTATTACCTGATAAGTAGTATAAACGAAATCCATTAGTTGATTTACAGTTGAGTCACCTCTTATAAATCCGGACTGCGTGGTAGACAATAAACTGCTTGTACGCAAATACTGATATAAGTTTGTATGCACTACCCTCTCAAATACTTTGCTTAAAATTGGCAAAAGCGGGATCGGCCTGTAGTTGGATAGATTTGAAGCATCGTCGTCCTTAAACAACGCGTTTACATATCCTGTCTTGAAAGATTCTCGATAAATTTTCATGTTAAGAGACTGGTTGATCATTCGAGTTAGGTAAGTAGATGTTTTAAGCACAGATTCTTTTAGCAGCCTAGCAGTCACACCAGGACTACTACCCTTGTTGTAGTATGCATACTGATTGGGTAAGAATTGCGAGGCAGCCTTTTCACTCCAAGAGTGATAATACAATAAGTAAACCATTTGACTCTACTTAGATTTTTAATATCATGTCATTAATAAGTGTCTCAGATAAGGGTGCATGAATTATATGAACACAGAGATCCTTGTACTTCTTGTCAGAAAACATTTCGAAAATCATGAAAAGTTGGTTTAACTTTCTGTGATAATTTGGAATATCAACGGCTTGTCTCATCGGAAAATCGATAGAAGCACATTACTAGATGCAGCTTTTCATACTGATCACGAATCTGATTCTTTTTTTTGAAAAAAAAAATTAAGTTTCAATATAAAATTTTTAAAGACTTTAATTTCAATTTTCTAACCTAGATATTTTGTTCAACAAATTTTACAAACATACCATTGAATAAAAAATTCAATTCTCTACAAAATGGCTTATTTTGTTTTGAGATTTATTTTTCACTCGATACATAGTGGCTGCTTGAACGTTTCAACTTCCACCTTTGTCTAAAGGCTTCAGAGAATTTTTCGAACTGTGTTTGCGAGGAGTCTTTTCAGAATTCATAGAACTTCATAAACGATAAGTATGAAGGTTTTTGAACAACGTTTAATGCTTAAAAATGGTGCGACAAAAAAAGTATACCACAGCGTCAGGAAAAATGTCACAGCGTCACAATGATAAAACACAATTATTGAGGGATGGAAAGCTCATCGGAAAGTTCTTTTAGTTCAAAAATCGGCGCCCGTCAGCCCATGTAGTGTCTTTTCCTCTGTTGAACAAAAAAAATGAACTCTCTACGACAAACTGCTATTAAAAATCTTGGAAAATAGTTCAGATGTAACTCCTATATAGAGAAAAAACTGTATTAAACGCTGTATAAAATACTCAGTTTTAGCCCTTGTAGGAAAGTGCCCGTAACTTTTTAAATCAAGGTCATACAGAGTTGTGCGACGTTGGTTAATCTTACAAAAGACTATTAAACTGGCGAGATCATAAATTAGACAAAACAAAAATAATATTCAGTTGTTCAGCTGATGAGCTATCGCACAGGTCACCATTCGTAGTTTTTAGAATATGTCTTTTTGCTAAATCGAACTTCAGCATAGAAAGTCATTCGGATTTCTAGAAGCCCGATAATCATGTAGGTACCAGATGGCGCTGAACTCTTTCGATTGCAACTTGAACTCTACTTGAACTAGAATGTCTTTCTCCAATTGTTCTCCTATAAATGTTGAAAGCTTTCTCAAAACTTTCTAAAGCATGACGATATTTACTACTTAGTTCATATACCCGACCAATATTGTAATGAGTTTTACCAATTTCTTCATGATCAGCTGGAAGCGATATTTGTTGAATTACTAAAGCTTTTTGGAATTCGTTTAATGCTTCGTCATATCGGTGTGTGTCAGAATACAACTGTGCACGGTCCATTAATGTTGTACCTGTTCTCGGATCGCTTGGTGATAGCACTTGTTGTATACTCAAACATTGATTATAATATGATAATGCTTCATCATGCTGCTTTAGATGACAATAAGTGTTACCCAGGTTTCCGTATGTGTCAGCTAAAAGCATGCGATTGTCTTCAGTTGCGTTTGACCTGAGATTTTCTAATGATTGTGTATAACATTCTAATGCAGATCTATAATCATTCGTGGCACAATGTACATTACCAATGTTATTATGAATAACACTGACAAGAACTTCATCTTTATTCGGGTTTTTTTGTTCTATCTCAAGCGCTCGAGACAGTAGACTTAATGCTTCTTTATTATCACCTCTCTCATGAGCTACTTGTCCCAAACACCCATAACACCGTCCAAAATTACAATCATCCTTTTTCACTTTACGGAGATATTTTCGATAACATTGTTCAGCTTGATCAAGTTTTCCCATTTCTTTCAATATGTTTCCGAGTGAAATGAAATTTAGGTATTCACCACAAATCTTTTGTCTCAGTGAATTAAAAACATCTTGTAATGTATTGTCCTGATCGCTGCATAAAACCAGTGTTATTATCCATAATCTATTGTCAGCGTCCTCTCTGACAGATTTTATTTGAAATACACTGCCAGCCATGAATAATATTTCAGCCTCTTGGGGTATAACGGCTAAGTCAGTAATATCAGCAAATGGTTTTGTTTCTGTCAATCGCGTATTGACCTCGATGTCAAATAGTACAACAGGTTTGTCAGAACATTATGAGAGAGCTTGAAAAATCGACTTTTTTTCCGCCAGACGGATCGAGCTGAAATTTTGGGAAATGAGTTATGAATATTAGTTACACATTTGGTGAAAGTTTCATCTTTACACATATAACGGTT